TCTATTAAGCGGACACTTGGGAAGGTCCCGTCCGCTTAAAAGAGGTTTCATGCACTCAGTTATTATCATATTATTTTTTTTTTTGACGTGCTTACAGTCAAACCAGGTCAAGCGTTCCCGTCGCTAACAAACTAATGAATTCATTAATGGCAAAATGATTTCGTTTGTTGATTCAATAATCCATTCATAAAATGAATAATCCAACGGTCAAATTGTACCTCGATTCAATAATCAAATGTTGATTTGGTTTATGAACAAAATCTACCTGTTCTTTATTCTTGTCTGTTGTGTTCAATCGTATTTGCTTCCCTTTTCCTGCTGTTTACGATTGCGTTTTTCATTGCCTTTAATCAAATAACAGCTAGAATAGACAGACCGCAAACGCAAAGAAACTGACAAAGGCCGAGGATCGAAATCCACCAATCACCGCACATACACTGACCTCAGTTTGACCGTCGTGTTTTCTAAGAGGTCAGGCCTAGGTCTGTTGCACTGATTATTGGCAGCAAACTGGCGTACATGTAACAGTTTGTTTGGGTTTGAACTTCAGAACTCGCCAGCACTCGACTCTCAGAAAAAAAAGAGGAAAACACAAAATTCTGAGGTCAACTTGTGGAAAGTGTAATTTTTCAAAAAACAGTAATCGAATCAACATTCGATTATGGAATCGAGGCTAAATATGACTATTGGATTGCTCATTTTATGAATGGATTATTGAATCAACAAACGAAATCATTTTTCCGTGAATGAATTCATTAGTTCGGTAGCGACGGGAACGCTTGACCTGGTTTGACTGTAAGGTCTCGTGACATACCGAGAAAAAAGAAAAGGAAATCATATCCATTATAACGTTTTAGTGTAATTGCTGTTAGTTAAATTAACGGAAGATGATTGCAGTTACTTTTTACCATGTGTACTTAGGAATTACAACAGCAACTGTGAACACATATAGTTTACTTATACATGTATACTTATATATCAGATATAATTAACGTTTGATTTTCTAAGTGCACTAACGTCTGTATA